GTGCGAGCGGACGTGCACCGCCGGGCAGCGCGGCGGGAGGCTGCCGGAGTCCGTGCTGGACTGCCGAGAGTGAGAGCCCGAGTCCGGCTCCTTAAAAAACGACTCGGGCAGATGCTTGTTCCTCCAGGAGCTGGGCTTCGGGTTCATGACGGAGTTAAACAGAGCCTCCAGATCCGTGTCAAGGTCTTTGGCGACATGGATCACCTGCTGGCCCGGTAACGGCTGGAGAGGGTTACTGCTCATTTTGTTAGATATAAAAACAAGCAAACCCCGAAAATCTTATTAAAATACTAGGATCCTGAGGAAACAATCCTGGAAGTTATAGGAACCTCTTTGGTTAGGCCTGTTTTTTTTTCTTCTTTTTTCTTTCTTTTTTTTTTTTTCTTTCGTTGGTAAAAGTAGTCACGGTCTACTTGAAAAGTCCTGCAAAGTCTTTAAAAAGTTGTCATAAAGCTAAAAAAAGAAGTGTATGTCATGTTGTCCCACACTGAGAGTTTCAGAGCTCCACTGACTGGCGGAGTTTCTGTCCCGATGGAAAGTTTGTAAACTCGAGCTTTTCTCTCTCTGCGTCTCTGAGCGGCTCCTGTGTCACTCATGAATATTCAGTGACTCCCGCCCTAATGAATATTCAATTAATCCGTAACACACAGCTCATTATCTTTGGATGATCTAATTCAGCAGTTTAACAAATAAACTTTACTTTGATGTTATTTTAAACCGCAATGGCACTCAAAACCTTGAAAAAAAGTTTAGGAATCTGCCACAATTGTCTAAACATTTTATTTTAATCCATTAAATCTGGTTTAAAATTTTAATTTGCTATTTTACTGCTATGCAATAGTAAAAATAGTAATATATTTATTATTATTACATGTTAAATATTAATAGTAGTAAATGTGTTCAATTAAATTTAAAACAATACATAGGAAATACACAATACATACAATTTTAATAAATATGACATATTATACATTTAATCATAACTTTGTTAGTTTCAAACCAATTTAAAATATTATAAACACCCAATATTTTCATCCAGAATTCCCAAACTTATTAATGTATTAAATATTGTAATAAATAATGAATGTGTATTTAATGTATAAGTTACTTAATATTATATAATCTGTATTTAATTGCATGTGTAGTTAGAAATGTTGCCTTGGCAACTAACTGAAAAAAAAAATTTAAATGATTAAATAATAAAAAATAAATATTAAAAAATATAAGCACTAAAAAAAAAGACACAATCACCTAAAAAAATAGAATAAAAAAATGCTGAAATTAAAAGCATATCAAAATGACAAAAACCAAAACTAAAATCTAAACAAAAACAAAAAAAATATAAAAACAAAAGCTAATTCAAAAAATAATAGTACTATAATAGTATATAAATAATACTAAGATAACACTGATTTAATGTTGACTAAAAAATACAGTGTAAAGTTATCAAACTGTTTTTGTTTAAACTGTGTTTACTGAACAAAATAATTTATTAGTAATGCGTTACTGTTCTTAATATGTTATTTTAATTATAATAGCGTATTGGACTGACTCATATTAAATGTAATGTATTAAATAATGTACTAAATAACGAATGTAATATATCTGATGTATAAGTTATTCAGTGTATCACACAATTTGTTATTGTATTAAATTGTATGTGTAGCCTTTGTTTGTTTGTTTGTAATAAAAGAAGTGATATTCTCTCTTAGCAAAGAGTGAAGTCTCCTTTTGCAGCTCAGTCAGGCTTTGTATAAAAATTAAAAATAAATAAATAAATCCTATTTTCACAGCTTGCTTGTATTTGATGGCTAAAGATGTGAAGCCGTTTTTCAGGTCAACGGTGAGCTGACACAGCCACACCTCATCATCACCGTACATGTCTAATGCACATGTTCATATGTGCAGATTATATTCATTTGACAAAAGAATGAGTCAGTGATTAATTTAATTGCAACTCAAGTCATTGTGACTCGATGTGGCTCAGACTAAGCCTTTCTGAGAAGGATTCTGATGTTTCAAGCCCAGCTGAAGTGAGCAGCTCGTGATGTGAGTGAGAGAGTGTTGACACACACACACACAAACACGCACACACACACACACACACAAACACGCACACACACACACACACACACACACGCACACTCACTCACTCACTCACACACACACACCCACACAGACACACTCACTCTCACTCACACACACACACACAAACGCACACTCACTCACTCACTCACACACACACACCCACACAGACACACTCACTCTCACTCACACACACACACACAAACGCACACTCACTCACTCACTCACACACACACACCCACACAGACACACTCACTCTCACTCACACACACACACACAAACGCACACTCACTCACTCACTCACACACACACACCCACACAGACACACTCACTCTCACTCACACACACACACACAAACGCACACTCACTCACTCACTCACACACACACACCCACACAGACACACTCACTCTCACTCACACACACACACACAAACGCACACTCACTCACTCACTCACACACACACACCCACACAGACACACTCACTCTCACTCACACACACACACACAAACGCACACTCACTCACTCACTCACACACACACACCCACACAGACACACTCACTCTCACTCACACACACACACACAAACGCACACTCACTCACTCACTCACACACACACACCCACACAGACACACTCACTCTCACTCACACACACACACACAAACGCACACTCACTCACTCACTCACACACACACACCCACACAGACACACTCACTCTCACTCACACACACACACACAAACGCACACTCACTCACTCACTCACACACACACACCCACACAGACACACTCACTCTCACTCACACACACACACACAAACGCACACTCACTCACTCACTCACACACACACACCCACACAGACACACTCACTCTCACTCACACACACACACACAAACGCACACTCACTCACTCACTCACACACACACACCCACACAGACACACTCACTCTCACTCACACACACACACACAAACACGCACACACACACACACACACACACACTTTCCATCTGTGACGAGCAACAGTTGACATCGGCAGGAGCTGAGCTAATGTTAGCTCGTGGGAAACACACCTGTCACTCACATCTTCAGCAAATGCACACTCAAACACACATCTACACCTCAGCTTAAGGTTTATGTATTGCACATAAAATGTCCATTCATTTAGATTAGACAGTTTTAACATAAATGCTCTAATAAACTGAATGTGATGCATATTTGTCAGTCAGTCATATATAAATGATTCAACAATAACTCTATTACAATACATAACAATTGAATATTGCTTATTTAAACAATGTTCATAAAGGAATAAATATAATTGTTTTACAGATTTATTCCTATTTATTTGAATAAATGCATTCTTAAAACTTATTTAAATAAAATCAGATATAATTATTATTACATACTCTATATAGGCTTAAACATTCATTCATTCATGCATTATTAAGGGTATAAGGGACGGTTTCCGTTAAAAAGCATTTGGAACGTTTTCTAAAATTCAAAAAATGTTGGTAAATAAAATAAAACTAAATTAAATAAATATAAATATAAGACAAAAAAAAAACTTTACAAATGTAAACAATGAGAAATACTGCTTTGGCAACTAACTGAAATAAATACATTGAAGTTGAAGTACTAAACGACTAAAACTAAATCTGAAATTAAAATAAAGCAAAAAAAGAAATATGAAAAATAATGATAATAAAAATGACAAAAGCGCATAATAGAAATATTTTCAAGTTAACGAAAATTTTAAAAAGCACATCAAAATTACTAAAACTTTACAGTGTAAAGTTAACAAAGTTTATTGAACAAAAATAATTTAGTCATAATTTGTTATTGTTTTTATTCATGCTATTGTATTATAAAATAACAAAGATATTGAACTGGCTAATATTCATTAATAAACAAAATCGAATAAATGGCCAGAGCAGTGGTAGAGAGCCTACAATCACTGCAGCACTTCATACATGCAGCTCAACACTATTGCACTGGATCTCTGTAACACTCATGTGCTAAAGTTACACCACAACCTCGAGCACAAGGGAGTGGAAGACTGCGCTAACATGGAGATTATCAGAAGTTATCAATTAGCACATTAATCATTATCCTGACACAAGGAACCCGTTTCCCTGAAATTCAACAGAGTCTAAATGACTCATGATCATGTTGAATCACTCGAAAGAAGAACATGTGCTTCAAGCTATTTTGTGCTCGAAGTAAACCTGACACCCGTTTGTGCATTTATTGTATTAATAAAATCACACATGTTAAATCTGAAGGATTATGTTTTTATCACATGTTCAGATGTTAACAGTGCGATGAGGAAAGTGTACGCTCGTCTGGCCATCTGCAGCTCTGCTCGGAGATCTTACACATTCAAGTGTGGCACTTATTATATTATCTTTGCAGAGTTCTGCAGATTTCCACTCAAAATAAGTGCATACAACGGAGAAGAAGAACAACAATCTGATCACTGATCAATATGATGTTCAATAAATTAGTCCAAAAGATGCATGTATTGCTGGGGAAGTAAACCCTCAACCCAAAAATACACCAAAACCCCCTTCAGTGCCATGTGCTTAAAGAGACAGTCCACCAAAACATGACCATTCTGCCATCATGCACTCACCCTCTTTCTTCTGCGGGACAAACAAAGAAGATATTTCTAACCGAATGGTTTCGGGTCCCATTGACTTCCATAGTATGAACAAAACGTATTATGGAAGTCAATAGAACCCGAAACATTCGTCAAAATATCTTCTTTTAAATATCCAAACCGTGAAGAACCAAACCGTTTCGGGTCTCATTGACTTCCGTTGTATGGCGATGGAAGACAAAGGGACCCAAAACTATTCGGTTACCAACATTCAATATCTTCTTTTGTCTTCAACAGAAGAAAGAAATGCTTACAGGTTTGGAACAACATGAGGGTGAGTAAAGGATGGCAGCATTTTCATTTTTGAGTGAACTGTCCTTATGTTAATACTTATGGCACGAATGAACCAACAAAATCTGCATTGATTGGTCTCTGAGAAACATCTGGAGCATCACTGGTTTACAGTCAGATTCATGCAAACAAGTCTAATCCCGAGTAAAGGGTCTTCCTCGTCTCATTACACGCAGCGTGGCGCTTCTATCTGATGTTGTGGAGGATGCGGCGGCTGCTCTTGAGCGCTCGCTGCGTGGCGGGATCCGTCTGCAGGACACAGGCGCTGCGCCTCGCACCGTCCTCCAGGTGGAGCTTCAGGGTCACGGTGGGCTGGCCACCTGCAGACACACAGACGGTCACTAACCCTGTCAGGCTTACCCTTTTTAATCATGCGCATCACGCTTCATGCCTTGCAAACTTAAACATGTGACCTAGCTGCTTGACATATGTGAAGTCGTCAAATTTTCCAGCAAACGTGTTTATGAACTTAATGCTGTCTTAATTATATAATTATAATAACTTTAGCATTTTCAGTTATTATTCTTATTTTCTTTGCAATGTGTGTTTTTTTTTTATTTGATGGTTAAAAAATGTGTGAAAATGTATAATTGTTTGTTTTTTGTTAATTTTGTTATTGAAACTTTGCCTTGCTGCAGTGTTATTTTAGTATTATTTATATACTAACAGCATTTATTAATATTTTGAATTAGCTTTATTTTTAGATTTTTAGTTTTCATTTTAAGTTTTTGTAATTTTGTTGTTGTTTTTATTTAGGTTGAATTTATTCTTACTTCAGTTTACATTTTAGTAATTTTAGTACTTAAAAGTTATTTAATTTCAGTTAGTTGCAAGTCAACATTTCTAATCTTTTATTTTTAGGTCTTTAATTTTCATTTGAATTTTAGTTTAAGTTTCAGTAATTTTGCTGTGTCCTTTTGCCATTTCTTTTAAAGGTTTTTTATATATATATACTTTTTTCATTTAGCTTTATTTTTTATTTCTTTTGTAGTTTTTGTAATTTTAGTATTTAAACATTTCATTTTAGTTAGTTGCCAAGCCAACAATTCTAATTTAAATTAGCTTTTATCTTTAGATTTTCAGTTTTTAATTTTAGTTTACGTTTTAATCATTTTGTTTACTTTTGTCATTTTTATTCGTTTTTGTTTTGATTTATCATCATTTTTATTTTTATTTCATTTCATTTTTTTAAAATCTTTATTTTTTAGTTGTAGTTTTGTAATTCTAATATAAAGTTTTCTTTTTTAAGTTTGAGTTTTCATCTGATATTTATATATATTTTTTCAACTCCATTTAACTTTTTTGTTTGTTTGTCGTTTTTTTAAACAAAAACAATTTTAAACAGTTTTAGTTAACAGCATCTGCTGATGTTGGTCTTATAGATGTGGTTTGGAAAGGGTTTGTAATCCGGTTTCACGTGTTTGTTTGTCAGATCTGAGCATCACCTCCAGGTTGTGGTAATGCGGGAGGCTGAGGATCTGTCGGATCTCCTCCTGTTCTCTAAATACAGCTGGAGCAGAAGTGCACTGAGCTCCTCTGAGAATCCCAGCACCAGCACAGAGTCCTGGAAATCCCCTTCCGAAATCTGCACAATGACACAAGAAATGTAGCTATGAAGTGATGGATCGTCACAGTTCATAGTAGAATAGTAATGTAGCAGACACTCATATTCCCATCATATTAATATCACACTGTGACTGGACTCACGTGCAGCTGCCTCAGATTTTAGGGTTTGAGCCCTTTTTCAGAAACTCCACAGCGATTCTGCCGAACTCACCGACAACTGACAAACATCAAGTTAATAATGCTTTATTACAGTGATTATGAGGATGTTTGTGTGTTAATATTATATATCAGGATAGACATTTCGATCAGCTCTAAACTATTCTCTCACACACAAAGAAGGTAAATACAGTACAAAAATATCTCCTTTCATTTAAACATGGAAATAAAGAGAACGTTTTTGCATTCTGAATCATAAAACTAACGAATGTTAAATAGAAATAGTTAAAAATATAGATAGAAAGAAATATTATTCCGGTTGTATAAACGCAAAAGCTCAGATTTGCCTTCTCAAATCATGGATAACACTGGAAATATGGATAAAATTAAGCATATAGTAAGCTTAGAAAAAACAGTAACTCACAAAAGATGTTTAAACGCCATAATCTTATATGAAGAATGTGTTTATTACCAATAAGCACATATTAGATATAAACAGAAACACAAACACAAGTAAATACTATAATGTGATCTCTCACCCGCAGGATCCACTTCTGACAAGAATCCTAAATGCTCCTTGTGCTCCTCAGATAAAACTAACAGCATTTTCTGATGCTTTTAATATATCATCACAGAAAATCAAGCATCAGGTTATAATTGTAAACTGAATGATGTTTAGCTTAGTTTAGTGTTATGTGCGCACGCAATCCAGTCCGAGTGAAACAGACGGCCGCAGAGTCTAGTTCCGCAGCATCCACTCGCTGTCAGTACTTAAATAAAATAAAATAAAAAGATTCGCTCAATTTGATATTCAGTTGTTGAATCAGACTTTACACATTGCAACTGTGCATTTAAAATAATTACTGCATTTATAGGTACAAAATACATGGGTAGATCACAAATTGTATTACATACTGAAGGACATCTTAAGATATTAAAGGGACAGTTCACAAAAAATAAATAAATAATAATAGTCTAAATTCTGTCATTGTCCTCACCCTCATGCTGTTCAAAACCTGTATGAATTTCTCTCTTCTGATGAAAACAAGAGAAGTAATTTTGTGGATAACCGAACAGTTGCTGGTCCCCACCGACTTTCATATTAAAGAAAGAAAAAATACTTTGTTTGGTTTAACTGTTTGGTACCCACATTCTTCCTATTATCTTCTTCAGCAGAAGAAAGAAACTCATACAGGTTTGGAACAACATGAGGGTGAGTAAATGATGGCAGAATTTGGGTGAACTACACCTTTAAGTGATTTTGGATACATTGTTTCCAATAGTTAAGACTTTCATATGCTGCATCCATCTCTGTTTTATCATGTAGTTCCAAGAGGAATACAAACTGGCAAAATTATTAATATATGAAAATGGGTATGAAGTATTAATATAATAATACCCTGTTGAAAAAACCAGCATATGCTGGTTAGGTATGTTTTGACGCTGGGATGCTGGTTTAAGCTGGTCCTTTGCTGGTTTATGCTGGTCCTTTGCTAGCACATGACCAGCATAAACCAGCAAAGGACCAGCTTAAACCAGCAAAACATACCTAACCAGCATATGCTGTTTTTTTCAACAGGGTAGCCGCATCAGATTAAGCATAGCCTGTACAAAAGGGCGCTGTCAAACATTATTAGAGGAGTACCTACAACTTCAATCCTTAATATTATTCTTTTATTTAGCTTGATGCTTTAATTATACAATGGTTACTAAATCACAAAGTTTCATTATTTTACTATGCAACACACTAGTGGTGAACAAGTGTCTGGAATGACCAGTCTATTTCATAATGTGATTTTTATTTATTTATTTATTTTTTCTTCAATTCTGGACAACTAAAGACTTCACAGAGACAGAATCTGGGCAACATGTTTTTGACACTCTGGACAAGTTGCCTCTGACTTCATTGTGTAATGTGTTTTGTAAGGGTTGTCAGATCAGGTTTCCAGGTCATCTCACAGAATGCTTGGGACGCTGCGTCTGGCTAGTGTCTGTGCTAGCGCTAGCTGCTGCAGCCACGGCTTCTCAGTGAAAGAACTGTGAGGGGAAGACAAAAGATGTGTCACGTCACTAGCGGCACCAAACGGAACAGCAAAAATAATTATTGTTTTACAACAGATTTCGCAAAACACTCCTGCATTTGTGATTGATCGGACAAGCATATCATCTACGAGAGAAAGCTAACCGCTAACATTCCCATTTATTGGCAGTTGCATGACTGGCTTAATTTTTTGTATTTTGCTAATCGCCCATGTTTTAAAAGCCATCTGGCATCACTCTGTAGCCTTGCAGACTGGTTTATGCCACACATAATGTTTTCCCCTAAAACCAGCTAAGCGCAATCCCCACCCTGCAGCTGATTTCATTGTTGCCAACCTATATTAAGGTTAGGGATTGGTCTTTGTTTCTGCTTTGTTTAGGCAAGCAGCACTGTGACATAAACAATGAAATCTTTGCGCTTAAATGGTTTGTGGGGCGGAAGAACACTTATGCCATCACAAGAACACACACAGTCCCACATCCTTCACTAGCAACTGTGAGCTGTGACGTCAGAGAGTAGACAAGGAGGGGGGGAAACATGTACTATATCAGGTGACCAAGTTTCAAGTCAAACACACCTAATATGTAACCCGTATTTGCATCGCTTTGACCGTTCTCTGTAGATCCCACCTTCTCACGAGCCACGACTGGTCGATTATGCATGTTATTCGTCAAACTACTTTGATCATTAACTTCAGCAGTAGTATGAAAACAGGAAAACAAAGCCAAAACCTGGATATTTTAGGCAATATAGAAATCCTGGCCAGGACATGTCCCGGAAAAAGAGGACGTATGGTCAACCTAACTATATATACTTTTACGAGCACATGTTTGTGATTCGCAATTTTGTGGCCTAATGGTGAGAGAGTCAGACTTGTAATCTGAAAGTGGCGGGTTCGAGTCTTAGTACCAGCAGGAATTGTAGTCAATACTCACGAATGAAGCCCGAGGCATACTTCCGACAGTCTGCGCACTGTCCGAGTGACGCAATTTTCGTCATCAGAAGTGTCCACGGACGTCCGCGCTTTTCTACGCACTTTTCCTGCATACAAAAGAGCAGGCGCGAAGTGAATGCTGAGACAGAACGAGTCCACTAGGTGGTACTGCGCATGTGTCGAACTCGTCCATCTGTACTCATCCGCAGTTGAGTATACTTTGAAAGCTGTGCAGACGCGGCTGTGCGCGAGATGGAAAGGAACGCAGAAAGTGAAGTATGCCCAGACCTTGAGGTGCCCTTGAGCAAGGCACAAAAAACCCAACTGCTGTGTGTGTTCATGGTGTGTGTGTGTTCAATACTCACTGCTGTGTGTGTGCACTTGGATGGGTGAAATGCAGAGCACAAATTCCTAGTATTGGTTACCATACTTGGCCACACGTCACATCACTCACTCACTAACATGTTGCTGGCAAAAAAAGAAAGTCAGAATGGATAGCAATTTTTATGCCTGTCAACGGAGTAGTCTCAGCCTCAGAAGTCACGCCTACGGACTGTTGGCTGAACGTCTCATGCATAAGACACACAAAATGAGAAACACTTGATTAGTTTAATTCTACAGGGTTTCTGGGAGATTTGTGTGTCGCCTGAAAACAAAGCCGTCGTGATGCCAGACTGTGACAAAAATCGCTTATCAGGATCAACTAGATGGGTTTTCAAAAGCATGTGACGTTCACAACACAGACTCTTGACAATTGAAAACGGTGTTCATGAATGAATGATTTATTGGCTACACATCGGTCTGTTTTTGTAGGGACATCGACATTACATTTCCACACCCCTGAACATAAAACTGAACAAAACTAATGGGGCTTGGTCCTCTTGGGCGGCCCTCCTGCCATCCGTCTGAAGGTCTGGCTATGCGAGACTACCAGCAAGAGTTAACTAGCAGAACACTGAGCCCCAAATCCACAGTGTGTACACTTTTAAGCATGTCAACCTCCAAAGGACACAAGAAAGGATTTAACATTATAATTGTTTATAACTATAACCAACCTGGCAATGGCCAAGCAATAAATGGCATTCTCCCGAAGAGTTCGTCCATTAAGCAGTTTAAAGGTTTCCTGAGGGACGTCAGGTATCTTGTCGGATTTTGAGGATCTATTGATGAGGAAGTGCCTGTGCCTGATGTCTGGAAAAGCATGGGGCAGTGGAACTTTACTGCGCCAGGCCTCCATGCTCCCATTGCTATTTTCAGCTGGCAGGATTTCCTTTGGGTTCTTCCTCCCACAAGCCCTGTTTCTAGTGATGTTCTGCTCTCGTCTTGCGCTCTTTATGGTCTGGGGAGGATGCAGCTGTGGCAGCACTACTGATGCACTCTGGGAAGGTGGAGCAGCGGGGTGATGACAGACACAAGAAGGACCCACAAAGCATGAGGTCACTGGGAAGCCACGGGATGATTCTTTAACCTCTATACATCCTCTCATTGCTCGGCCTCTGGGATTCGAGGACTTCTTCTGCATGGGAAAGCCATCAACATGCACCAGATCACCAAGCTTTCTTCCCAACAAGTGGCGTTTCTTGCTTGAGCCCTGCGTATCCATGTCTTGATTTGAAGATAGATGTGCATTGGTAGAGAGCACCCGGGAAAATTGACAGTAATGTAAAGTGTTGAAGCTAAATAGGTAACAAACTCTCTGCGTCTATGCCGAATTGCGATTTGCAGTAGATTCCTGCCACCGGGATCGCAACAGGCCAGATTTGCAATGCTCCTACTAACAAACAATTTTAAGATCAGCAGATGTCCTGCCTCGACCGCTGCATGTGTGGGACACTTCAAAGAGTCCGGATGGGCCGTCTGGTAGCACCATGTGCGGTAGGGATGGACGCCGACAGGGTCTTCTGCTCTGACCCCACTGTTGATCAGCGTGCTGTCCATGTCCAGGTGCCCATGTGCTGAAACCTGCATCACAGAACATCAAGATCTTGTGAAATCAGTCGCCCTCTGTTTGATGTACCCAAAACACCCAGAACAGACATACTGTAGAAGTGCAGACTAAACCAAAGACGGGGTGTTGTCAAACCTAAGCAGAGGTTTCTCCTCCGAGAGGTGCCGCTGAACTGTTTGTTTGTGTCCTCTGAAACAATCTCTCAGAAACTCATTCCAGCCTTCCCAAATTTCCAGAAGAAGGTTGCCCCCTGTGACAGAGAGAACCTTTATTAGTGGCGTTTGCTTTTCCTCAGCGATATGCAGTGCATTAACCAGGTACCCCCTCAATCACCCACCAAAGTAAACCTACACACACACACACACACACAAGATTACTATACTTAAATTACAATTTAAGCTTTTCATTAGTGATTTCCTAAAGTTCCTGAGCACAACTCTAGATTAGTGCTTAAACTTCTGCACTGTTCTTTTCACAGTACCGGGAGGTATTCTTGCATACCCAAGCTCTTGTAACTTGGCAGTGCTGTGCAGAATTACAACACCCTGCCAGATTATTACACCCCTCATGAAGGCTGCAAGCCGATTGATTTCTATCCCTAAAACTTACCCACACTTAACCCTAAACCTAATCATACTGGGGACTGAGGGGAGCCCTACTGTCCACATGCTTTTGGCCAGTTGTTAAAGGGGTCATCGGATGCCCATTTTCCACAAGTTGATATGATTCTTTAGGGTCTTAATGGAAAATCTGTAACATAGTTTGGTTAAAATTTCTCAATCAATGGTAGTGTAAAAAACACATTTTTTACCCTGTCAAAAACAGCTCTTTTCAGAGCAAGCCGTTTTGTAAAAAACACCTTTTTTTTTATGCTGTCAAAAACAGCTCTTTTCAGATAAAGCCGTTTTTGTAGCATTTTTCTTTAAATGTTAATGAGCTCTGCTGACCCCGCCCCTCTCTTCCGAGCTGCTCTCAGAGAGACTGTTTACTTTAGTCGTGAAACTTTTTAATTAGCACATTATTAGGAAAGGCGAATTGCAAAGATTCATTAAAAAACCTTATACTCACTTCTTCTGTGGGTGAAGGTGGATCCCGACTGATTCGCGCGAACATAGACGCATTTATGTAGATCGGGGGCGCATTCTCTTCAAAAACAAACGTAATCCACTGCGTCTTCAGCGGCTCAGATGTCGGGAGTAAATGACGACTGCTGTTCATTATTACATCCAACAACAGAACACCTCAATCGCTTAGGAGTCATTCTTGTCTACATCTGCTCCGGCGGTGAAACAATGGTGGACTGATGACAGCTCACTCAGGGCGGAGCTAAGGTAAGACGCCAGTCCAGTCTGTGCTGAAACGCTACTGTCAATCAAACTATCGTGGGAGGGGCCTGTCTGTGTGACGTCACACAGACAGGCATCTGAGATCGGCTCGATTTGAGAAAGGGGTAAAGATTTTAGTAGACTAATATATCTCTCTAATAATGAAATACCAAATTGTACTCTGTTAATAAATATATCAACCTTTGGTTACACTTTATTTTAAGGTGTCCTTGTTACAGTGTAATTATACATTTAAGTACTGAGTAATATTAATTAACTACATGTACTTACTATATGATTAGGGTTTGGCTTAGGCTTACTTGCATGAAATTAATCAATATAATTAATATATTGTATTGGATTGTTTTTAATATAATTAATTGTTATTACAATAGTAAGTACATGTAACATGTGTAACAAGGACACCTTAAAATAAAGTGTTACCCAACCTTTATTTTTGTACTTGGACTTGAGTGCATGCAGTTCCACTATTTGGCTGTATGCATTATTATTATTTTTTAAAAATAATATTACACAATCTTATATAATATGCCATTTTTGTATACTACACATGATTGCGTTCCAGAACCTATATTTCACAAATCACTGACAAGATGGGTAAAATGACTGATAAACCAGGGAGTTTTTCACAGGGTCAGCTGCCAATACTAAACCACCAACTATAGCAGAAACCCATCAAAACATAAATGAATCACCTTTCTTGAAACTAACAGAAAGAAAAACAGTTTTTTTCTTCTTTGACTTGCAGTGAACTTTACAGATTTGAACTTAAACTGACCTTGAGAGTTTTATTGCAAATTTGACCTTTCTCGCTTTCTGACTTTGAGTGTCTTTGAGTTTACAGGTTGCCAAGAGAAACAGGATACAAACATAAACCCCTGCATCTGTGCTTCACATCCGTTTGTTTTAGAAGATGCATGACAATGAAACAAAAAAAGTGAAAAATGTGTGGAAAAGTTATAATTGCCAGCTGGTGGCCAAGATTGATACCACAAGCTAATAGTCAGCAAGCAAGCAATTTTTAATGAATAATTTATTAATTCATTTATTTAGGATAAAATAGGCTCATGAAGACACTGAAACACTTTTTTTCAGCTTGTGTTTTCTTTATCTTGTGGTTCATGGCTAGTCTTGATAGCAAACCTGTATAAAAAACGTCTTTTAAGTTAAGTGAATGTTTTATTTCATTGGGTGTCCAGTCATTTCAAACCAATTTCCTATTAGAAACAAAGTGGTTATTCCTGCAGCTTAAAGACTCAGAAAAAAATACGATTTGATTTGTTGGATAGATTTGTACGCTATAAAGTGTAATATGTAAAAGAAAAGTCTAACCCTGACATACAGATGTATTTGTTGTTTATTAGTGGCAATAACGTGCTGCTTTAGCAATAGGCCTAAATTAAATGAGAACACACAATGTTAAGATAAGTTGGAGAAATATTATTTATTATTATAATCATGTTTATTATTGCAATTCTACACTAGTGTTTTTAATCTGTGTAGCCATTTAATTTAAATTATTTAATCGAATGACAAGCCATGCATGCAGAAAAAAAAAGAATTACACAATTGTATGAAAAGATTAAGTAGCCTATATACATTGTATTACGGTAAATAGTTAGAGTATTACACAAACAATAGTCTTTTTTGTGTCTTTGGTTTTCCTATTACCCTCAAACGTTTCGATATATCGATACAGTTCTGTTTTGAAGGGGAAAGGTAACATTTACGCAAAATAATCAGTACATTAGAAGTATATATAAAAAAAGATTTCCTGTCAGCGGTCAGTCTTTCTCGTTTCATCACTGCGCATGCGCACATTTTCAACATGGCGGCCCCCGTGAAGTTGCAGTGTCTTGATGACTTTCCAACACACATTCATCCTCTACATGTGCTTATCAACAAATCACAATTCACTCAAAAGTTTCCAGACCACACTGGACCCACACACGCGTTGTTACTGTCACTGATGGACCAGCAGTCCTCCTGTAATCGGGGCTTTTTGGTGTGCGCGCACATAACTCCAGAGGAAGAGACCGATGTAAACATTCTCACGTGTCTCGCTGTTTATGTGAGTAGATCTTTCCTCAAACACTACGGCCTGAAGGAGCACTCGCCGGGAACGGTTCGCCCACAGTGTCTGCTGCCTTTAAAGAAGATTGTCATCGGGGCTCGGACGAAGCAGAGCTTTAAATGGGCTTCTTCAGAGAAGTTCTCCAATGCTCTGCTAATCCTAGCCTCCTGTCACGGACAGACTCTGCTGGCGAGGCAAGGCGATGCGCTTCTGATCCCCTACCATCATTTACTGGGTGAAGAAGCCGCACAGGTGCAGCAGCAGCTGTCGGAGGTGGTGGTGCTGGAGTGCACACCTGTCAGCCAGGGCAGGATAACAGTGGACACCAGTGTGGTGCTCTCCGACTGCAGAGATCTGGAGCTTAGCAGCACCAGCATCATGCTAGCGTCCTCTCTCTTTGTCTCTGATTTCGCCCAGTACGCAAGTAGCTTGGGTTCTGGCGGCTCTTTGCTGAACAGTAGAGTGCTGGACTTCAGTGCCTTCTCGCAGGCTCTTGAATGCAGACTCGATGTGCGCGTGGTAGACGCCTCAGACCTCCACAGACCTGGAGGAATACTGTCTAGGCTCGAGCGTGATGAAGGACTGGACGCTGACAGCACTGTTTTTGTGAACAAGAGCTTGTTGCTGAAGCTGGGTGTGTTTAACGGGGAGTGGGTCATTGCGTCCGTCCCAGCAGAGAAGATGAAGAAGACCCCTCCGGCTCAGAGTCCTGTCCTGGCCGAGCAGGGACGTGTTCATCTGCTTGCAATCAAAGCTCTTGACTCGGTTAGACAGCAAGACATGGATGTGAAGGACAATGTGGGCTTGATTTCACCGGTTCTGTGGTTTAACCTGGCAGACGGGATGCCCGTGCCTGTTGGAAATAAGACCATCAAGATTAAGGTGAAGTAGTTTAATGACTGGCCAACACAATTAAAAAAACTGAAAATTGTTCATTTTAAAATTCACCGTTTGAAAAAATGAAAATCAAATTTGTTGTATCACAGTATCGCCATTAAGGTAACACTGGATAATTTGAAATGATTTCATTAATTGGTTTGAGCAGATTTGCCATGTGCCATTTATTTGTATTTATTAATACATTTTCTTACACTTATATTTGGTTATTTGTTTATAGTTATACATTTAAATATAAGATTAGACCTGGGTGATAACATGGTTTACATTTTGTGATGATATAAACAAAGCAGCCTGCTGTGAGTATATACTGCATGAGTGTGAATAAAGAGAGAGATATATATATAAACATATAAAGAACTTCATATATATTGTAAAGCTGTGCGATAATATAGTTTACATTTTATAAACAAGTATATAAACAATCAAGCGGTAGAGGTATACTTCCATATCCTCGGATATACTTCAGTATAGAGAGAGTAAATACAAATACTTCCCTAAATTAGACAAGCTTTTAGATTTGTATACATGTTAGAGTTCAAAGGGTTACTTCATAACAGAAAATACCTATTTAGTACAATTTATTTAGTTGTAAAATTGCTAATATATATATATATATATACATATATATATCTAAACACCTATTCTATAGCATTTTTAATCACGGTTCTGGTTATCGACTGCTGCTCATCTCAGAAATGGCCAGATATTATTTGATCAGTCTGCCACTGTAGGGTAACACTCAGTGAGGTCTGATGGTCGATCAGATGTCAACAGATGTGTGATTAGGTTTGTGTGTGTGTGTGATTTGATTGAAGCAGAGGTGGAATAAGGTCTCGTCGCGTGCAGAGTCTCAGATCTCCGTGAGCGCGTGTCGATGCGCAGCGCCGCCGTTCGCTAAAGAGCTGCACATTGAAGCCGTCGTATCTCCAGACTACAGCTCCCATGGGCCCTTCGACAGCATCCTCCACAAACACTTCAGCTCACCCAGGTGCTCACAGCACACTTTCAGACATATAGCGTATATGCTCTCTCCCTCTTCCTGGCTTTCCTGAGCGTTGGGTTTGTTTGCAGGCTTGTTCAGCGGGGGAGTATTTTGGGAATCCCGACAGAAGGACATCCTGATCTTATAGAGAACAGCTCTGAAGGAATCCTCAGGTGCGGGTTCATCTTCAGGAGATGCTTTAAAGACCTTTGAAAACCAATCCTCATGCAGGTTCTGTGTTTGGCAGCTGGCCTGTGCTGTATTTCAGAGTAAAGCAGGTGTGTGGTTTCTCTGCGGAGGAGGAAGAGGTTTCTTCATATCTGGCTGATTCCAGTCACACTTCACTCTACATGGTGAGACATGATATTAATAATAGTCCAATCAGAATCTGCTCTGTCAGACCACACAGTTAATATATGCAGGTGTGCTCGAGCTCTGATTGGCTGTCCACAGGGAGGCTCCGCCCACAGCCGGTCTCCCTGCTCAGTGCTGCAGAAGGGTTGGTCTTTCTGGACGAGTCTCTGTCCTCCGGGTCTGTCCAGCACTGTGGAGCAACTGCTCACTATCATACAACCTCACTTCAGTGAAAGGTCTGTATTGTGTATATATATTATGAATAAGTTGCTCACAACCTCAATATTGCAGATACAGATCCCTAAACAAGACCATATCTGCAGATGAAACTTTGTTTGTAGAAGCATTTTTTAAATGTGATCTAGCACCTCATGACTACACCACGTTATGTACGAGAAGCTGCAGAAGACACAGGTGCAAGTGGAATGTAATAAACATGGTGGCATTAATTTTTAAGTAAATATAATGGGCGATATATTGCGTCACCAAAAATTATTGAGGTCATGTACATATATTATATATAAGTCGCTATATTGATTATTGCGACAGGCCTATATACATGGTTTGTCTTATATTCCATTAAATGACAGACTTTGCAATCTCAAAGCAAACAATCTACTCTATTTGATCTACATCCAGACATTGTTATGATGGAGGAGCCGCCAACAACCCCAACACCTTCCACATCAGCCCCACCCACCTCTGTCACCTCTCCCATGCCCATGAACCCCCAGCAGGCCGTGTCCCCCACTGCTGCTGTTCCTGAGAAAGAAAAGGAAAAGGAGAGAAGAGGTGGAGGTAATACAGGGAAGGGCCTCACAAAGGCGGTGTTATCTGCCCATACCCAGCAAGAAGAGCAAGCTTTCCTCAGTCGTTTCAGAGACATCAGCCATCTGCGGATGGTCCAACCCAGCGGGCCACCACAGCGCAGACACACGTCTACACCTGGGGCAAAAGGTAACATCATTGTAGAGTTGTTCACAGGTTGAATTTGTCTGTCTAACTTTCTTTACCTTCGCCTTTAATATTTGGCTTGTGCCGTCTAGGAGTGAACAGCTCCCAGTACTATCCTTCTGTGGGCAACAGCAGCAGTCGTCGGCATGGTAGAGGAGGGAAAAGACTGAAACACCAAGTAGATGGCAACACACCAGACAGTCCCTCCCCCTCTGGGTCTAGCCCCTATAGAGGATCCAATCCTGCAGCAATAAGACCCAACCTCCCCCCAGTCCAGCAATCTTCCACTTCTTGGCCACCATCTGCGGCATCCCAGACTAGCGGTACTCCCATGATGACCTCCTTTCCCCCAGGCTACATGCCTATGTTCCCCATTTCATCACCTTTCTCGATGCCCCAAATGGGAACAGATCATTCCTTGCAAGAGGGAGTCCCTAGATTCCCCATGCAAGGCTTTCCTCCAGTGATGCCACCAGTCATGACCTTCATGTTGCCCAACTATATGTTTCCACAACTCTGTAATATAGGACCACAGTTGAACCCAGCCAACTCGCAGCTCGGTGGGCAACTGCTTGCCCAAATGAACCCCTTGGGTCAGTTCCCTTCCTCTGCTGTTGGTTTACCATCGTTCAATCCTGCAATGGGACAGTTCAATCCATTGGGCTCCCAAATGAATCCTGCCATGCCTACAATGATTCCCCAGCAATTCTACAACCCAAATCCCCTGTTCACTTTCCCCAACTCTCCATCAGTGCCAGCAGTAAATACCAATACTGCGCCACATGGGCAGTCTCGCTCCAGCACACCTCAGTCCACTGGGCAACAGGCTGGCGAGAGGGAAGGGTCTGGATCTCCTCTGTTTCCATCCCGATGCTCCTCCCC